CAGCACACTCCTTTCTTTGTGTAAGCTTGTCTAACAAACAGATGGCCTTAAAATGTAACTTAAAATGCTCCTTTGTGTAATGCCTGTCCTTACACCTTTGTATAACTGATAGCCTGGTAGTGTAACTTAAAATGTAACAGGACATTTCTTTCTTTGTATAACTGATGACCTTATAATGTAAACTAAAATGTCTAAACTCCCTTAGCAACCCAAGATGTCACTCAACATTCCAATCCTAACACACTAAATCTGCATCTGTGCCTTCCCCTTGCTTTCCCCATAAAAGCCCTAAAATCCCATCAGGCAGGGCTCTGGCTCTTTAGGAGCAATCCTAGTCAAAGCCCACCAGTGTAGTAAAGTGCTTCCCAAACCTCCTTGACGCTGTTTCTTCCTGTGTCTGATTGGCTTTCCATAATAGGACCACTCATAATGAACTCTATTTATATTTGAAACCATTTTGTACCTTGTAAAATATTTTCACAAATTTTGTTTCATCCTTACAATAACTTTGAAAAGTAAATATTATTATTCTTATTTTGTAGATGAGGAAGCTAAGGCTTAAAGATTAAATCACTTTGAAAGTTCATATATGAGTAGCAAAATATTGTATAATACAGTAATTTCTAATAACCAATGTGATAAGAATTTTACACAATGAATACCATGTAAAATATGGTTCGAGAAGAAACATAGATAAAAACAAAGAAAAGTAACCATTAATCTAAGATGCTTTCTGGGGAAACAGCCCTGAGTAAGACACTGCGATGAGGACTCTGACAGCCAGGAAGTGACACGGGGTATACGCTGAGGGAGTACATTGGAGTTGTCGGGGAATGTGTTGCCAATAAAGTTTACTCTGGTGAGCTGACTAGGGTAGGCCCTCACGTCTCCCACATATAAAATAAAATATGGTTGTTTTATGGGGCTTTGAGTAAGCCTGTGACTTATGTTATTCTCTATGGATGGAAGATAAGGACATTTCTGCTCATCTTTCTTGGAGAGTTGTACATGGCCAACAAAACCTAGGTGTCTTATTATGGCTATGACAAGGCAGTTTGTATCAAACTAACTCTTTCATTAAAAATGATTTAGGGGCTGGGGGTTTAGCTCAGCGGCATAAGCACCTGCCTTGCAAGCAGGCGGTCGTGAGTTCGATCCCCGGTACCGATAAAAATGAAAAAGACAAAAAAAAAAAATAATAAAAATAAAAAATGATTTAAAAAGCGGGACAAAGATACATAAAATAAATGCTTTAAGGCATGAAGGGCAACCAAAACAAGTAACATATGAAGAACCACAGTTCTTAAGCATGAAAGATGAGTGATGTATGTTTCCCTTTTTTCCTTTGAAAATATTCCCAAATTGTGTGTAATGGATCCAAATAGAAATCACAGTCCTACTTGGCTAAGGAGAGAGAGAGACTGCAGTTCATAACTATCAAACTGTTTGGCACTTACTAGTCAAAATCCTAGAGTAAAGGGAATCAAAGGGAAGAACCCACAAAGCCGTATATAAGGACCATTCAAATCACTGGGAGACTCCTATTCTATGAATGGACATCTCGAGACCTCAAGAAATTCAAAAAAGACAGTAGCTGGAAGGCTGAAGATCTGTAAAGACTTCAAAATCCACATGATGCTGAAAAGAAAAAGATTGAATTTTGTTTCCTGCTAAGTTGAAAGAGCCCTAATAAACACCCCAAGGTTTTAATGAAAACTTCTGAAGAACAAAATCCAGTAGTAAGAACACTTAACTAAGAGAAAAAACCAAATATATGGAGGAAAGAGAAAACCTTAAATAGACCAGATCCAGTAATTTCTAAAATCCTTTCTCGATAGATTAAGAAAAGTTGCCAGTTCTCCATCTGCCTGACAAAACAAAACTTAAAATCCTCTTCTCAGGACATTAACATCTAGAGCCCCTACAATGCTCCATCTAAAATGACCAGCATGCAATAAAAATGACAACACATGTTAAAAAGAATGACTAAATAATTGAAAGCAAATAGAAAAATACCACAGGTGACTCAGATAATGAAATTATCAGACAGGGACTTTAAAATAACTGATATTAAAAATAGAGGAAAATAATAACAGAATATCCTTTAGAATTATAGGGTAATTTCGCCAAAGTCCTAAATAAATTTTTAAAGGTAAGCAGAAATTATAGAAATTTTAAAATTATGACAAAGTTAAGAATTTAATACATTAATGTGTAGGATATCTTTAAAATGACTAGTGAAATAGGAGATGGGTTATTGTAGCAAATACTCAAAATTACAAAGGGTTTAGTGAAAATATAAAGGTTTAAAAGATACATGGAAATGGCACAAAAGGTCTATCATTCATGAGTTAAGTGTCTCAGAAAGAGAGGGGAAGGGCTATTTTAAATAAATACTAAGAATTTTCCAAAACTGGTGAAATGCACCAAATTACGTTCAGAAAGCACTGAACACTTTAGACAAGATAAATACAAAGAAAATCACATCTGATATATCACTGCTATACTGCTAAAAGTCAAAAAGGAAAAATCTAAAATGTACATTTAAAAAATAAGCCCCAAAAGGAGCAATAAGACTGATAAAGAGTAAAAGGCAAGTGGGTCATAATTTTAAAGTACTAAAAGTTGACTCCCTGTCGACAAAACATTTGATTATCAAAAGGGGGCGGGATTCTAATAAATACCCCATAGGTTCTTTGGAATGATAGATCTATGAAATTGTCTGGCATCTTGGGGATAGATACAAGATGACTACTTCCCAATACAGTGCTATTTGAACATAAAATTCTGAAGTGACAACCACTCATTAGAAGTGATTTGCTCTATTTGTGTTAATAATAGAGCCCTAGAATACATACTGTCCAACAGAAATGTAATACGTACCACAAACGTAAGCCACATCGAGCAACATTTTTTAAAATAAAAAAGAATAGGTAAAGCTAATTTTTATAATATATTTCATTAACCGAATATACCCAAAATATTTTCATTTCAACACAGTTGAGATATTTTACAGTTTTTATGCTAAATCTTTGAAAACTACATTTCAATTTGAACTACTTATATTTCAAGCTGTCAGTAGCATCTTATAGCTGAGGCCACCATATTAGACAACACTCAGGAACTGAGTTAGGAGCTTTAAAAAGTATAGATGCCCATGCATCTGCAATTAGGGTGAGGAAAGTGAAGACTCACACTGAATACAAAATTTTAGAGAGGGAATAAATCTTATAACAAATATAAGCCATGTTAATACAAAATTTAAAATCACAATGAATGCAAAAATTCATGATCAACAAAATTGTCAAACTGTTAGTAAAAATAGGATCCAATTACTGATCACTTTCCTCCAGCTCAGGCTCCAATAGGCCTTGGCATGGCCCCGTGCCCGGGGTTCCACATCAGACCAAATAACTGGTATTTTTGGAGGCAGGATGTGGGCATGATATTTTTAAAGCACTCGGATGATTCTAATGTGCAACTAGCATTAAGAACCACTGCTGCAGTCTAATGACTGCCCCATTCTTGGATTTACTGCCAAAGCAGGGAGTGGGGAACTTTTAACATGTAATTCTGGGATGTGCTTTCTTTCACCAAAACCCCCAAATAGTTTTCATGTTTGGATGTCACATTTCTAATACTGGACAATTCTAGGGTCACTTATTTGGAGAAAGCTGGTAAAAGATAATTTTTAAAAAATTATCATGTCATACAGATGTAAAGCACGATACAATGTTATTTAACAAGTAACTAGGCAGATTTTCAAAACCAGCTCAAAAGAGAATTCAAAAATCAGGTATCTGTATAGATCAGGCATATTGAAATGTATATGCAAATGGAAGGAAAACAGCTTTTTTTTCTGGTTTGAGACAGTGTCTCACTGTGAAGTGCATGCTGAACTCAAACTCATGGTAATCTTCCTGCTTCGGCCTTCCGAGCGCTGGGATTGCAGGTGTGCCCCACCACACCTGGTAAAACAGCTTTTTGTACAAGGAGAGCAGAACAGTAAATCAAATGAATCGTCATCAAACTAGACAGAATTTGCTTGTCTATCAGTTCCTTACAACTTACCAAAGCTGTAAAGTATCTCCCATAGAACCCATTTGATAAGGGAGTAAGGTGTGTTCTCAACAATACATAATTTCCCATTGGAGCACAAATTTAATAATACAAAAATTTCTTCCCTTTTCATGGAGGGGGGGAGGTCGGGCAGTCACTGGAAATTAAATTTAGGCTCTTCACACTAAGCTACATCCCCAACCCCTTTTTCATTTTTTATTTTAAGACAGGGTCTAAGTTGATAAGACTTCTCATGCTGACCTTGAACTTGCAATCTTCCTACTATCTTTATCCTTGCAGAGTGCTGGGAATACAGGTGTGCTCTGCCATGCCAGGCTACTGACTGACCACTGCAAAACAGTGGTCTTCAAGTTTTGTTGTGCAGGACAAACACCCAGAAAATAAGACAAAAGGCAGATTCTCTTTCACTGATTCTGGGCTTGGATGACAACCATAAAAATGTGTGTAGGGGTTCTTTCTTTATTTGTTTGCATCGCTAGGTGTGGAACACAGGCAAGTGCCTCGCATGTGGCAAGCAAGTGCCTTCCCACTGAGCCCTGAGAAATGCCTTTTTTTTTTTTTTTTTTTTTTGTCTTTTTCCTTTTTATCGGTACTGGGGATCGAACTCACAACTGCATGCTTAGAAGGCAGGCACTTATGCCACTGAGCTAAATCCCCAGCCCCCAGAAATGCCTTTTTTAATACACACATTAGCTGTATCTGATGCAGGTGTTCTGAGGAACATATTCAAAAAACACTGATCTAGAACATACCTATTCTATATTATGGAGACAGCCTTTACAATTGTGCTTCTCACAGTATGTTAAGGTAGGTCTAGATTTCAATTTGAATCAATTTTAGTACTTTTAGTATAGAGAGTATTTTCTTTGTTTCCAAGATAATATGTATGCTGTTTTTGTTTTTTTACTCAAATCTTACAGGACAGACAAGGAACTGTATTTATATTATACGAACACCTGAAGAGAGACAAGTTGGGCATGTTGTGAGTATGAAGTATCTATAAGATGTAATAAAAGCTAATAGATTATCACAACTAACAAAATGCTTTTTCAACAGCTTGCAGATTTATAGAAAGTCTATTTCATTTTATTTAGAACTTCAGTTACTTCATAAAATGTCTTTAGATGTGTTAGTCAGTGTTCATAAGTATAATTATCCAAAATCAATGGGTAGAGTGCACAGTATATTTAACATATTTCACTCAAGTTCATGACATACAAGAGACAACAAATCTGAATAGAGAACCAGTTCTGACGTCTCAGTTGTGGAAAGGCAGTTGTTATTCTTGCATGCATAAAAAAGTGCTCAAGTGATTTAGCGAGATGTTCCTCCAAAAGGTAGGGCTAGGTCCATCTTTGGTCCTAGTGCAGTCTTCTCAAAGTGTCTACGAAGCACAGTCCTTCTGGAAGTGATCTCACCCTCATCCATCCTTTTGAACTTATGCAAATATTCAGACGTCTTGCCCGTTTGCAGCTAGCATGTGGCTGCCATGTAACCCAGTGATTATAATCTTAAACTCTTCTTAGCAGCCAGGAAAAGGAGGATATGGATGTTTGAGTCCTCTGCTCTAGTACCAACATGCAGAACTTCCTGGGTTTGGTTAAGAAAGCTTCTTTATTTAGGGTTCAGTCCATACTTCTGTTATACACAGTAATAACAACAGAAATGAGGCCTCCCTCCATAATACCCCAGCAGGAATGCATGCTTCTGACCTGCACAGATATTCATATCCAGATGATTAACAAAGCTATGGACACATCTAGGCACGGGTAAGGAAGGAGCTGCCCTTTGTTTCCAGTGATGTGCTGCCTTTCAATTCCCTCCTTTCTCTCAGTCCCAGCCTATTCTGCTCTCTTTAATGTTGTCACTGTGATTCTAAGGCTGTGGCAGGACACAGACCACAGCACAGTTACTATGAATAGGAGAACCAAGCAGTCAGCTGGATTTAATGTTGGCAACCTGTCAAGAAACTCGTATTTTTCAGAATATGACTCTAATTAAGCAAGAAATAGTCATGGTCCAAGTATATTTCTAAACTCAGGAATTGAGACAAATGGGTTTGTGAAGTACAAGGACAAGAAATCAGAACAGAGATATGAATTCTGTCTGCTGACCACCAGCTGGCATGAAAGGTAAACTGCAGAGGATGAGCTGGGCCAGGATTGGAACTAGACAAAGCCTCCTGCAGAGAGGATAAGGCCAAGGAGGGCAAGTTCCCTTCTGGTGATGGGAGAAGAACAGCCAGGTAGGTCAAATTCAGATGCAAGATCTGGGTATCTGCGTGATATCCCAAGATACTACCAGCTTGCAAAATGAGGCAAGTTCTGGCCACAAAAATCTAAGAACCATCTGAAAGTCAGGAAGGAGGAGGCTGACTAGGAGCTCAAAGAACAGATTACACTATGATTTATATCTGGATGTCCCTCTCAAACCTCAAGCCTCAGGGGTGACTGAAACATGGAAAAGTACAGCTAATGTGATGCTAGGGGGTGGGACCCGGTCGGAAGAGGTGGGTTACAGGGGTCGTGACCCGGTAGTGCTCCTGGGTTCCTCCTTTCTCTGCTTCCTGGCTGTCATGATGTGAGCTGCCTGTCACCTGTTTAGGAAAGTGAGGGGGCTTCAAGAGGGGATGATTTTACAGAACAGAGATTTGTGATTTGGCTTTTTTGGAGATAACTTTGTACTGACCCCATTTATCCTGGATATTTTGGGGAAATAATGAAGCAGAAATTTCAAGAAGGAGAGAATAAATTCTAGAAATGAGTGAATTAACAGGGAAGGGGACAAGAAATGAAGTAAGGACCTGGTCTCTTTCTCTTTTGCACAGAGTCTCTCTCTTTCTTCTTAACTTTTCCATAGTTTCTTTTAACAATGTTTCTTGGATTTTAGTATATAACAGAGAAGCACCTAGAGAGGCTTGGTGACAAACATATTCCTGGCCCCCAGACCAAAAATTCTGGTTCTGTTAATTCTGGGTGGAGCCCAGGAAAGTTGTTTTAAGAAGCACCCAGGATGTAATGCATACCAATCCTACGGTTAACAAAAACACACACATACAAATTACTTTTCAAAATTACTGACTCTGAAGTTACCTTTGGCCATTATTTATTTTCTTAAAAACAGAGATACTGGGGGATGGAGATTTAGCTCAGCGGCATAAGCACCTGCCTTGCAAGCAGGCAGTCGTGAGTTCGATCCCCGGTACCGATGAAAAGGAAAAAGACAAAAAAAAAAAAGAGAGATACTAATGTTTAGCAGCTACAGGAGTGGTAGGCCATCCTCAGATTTTAGAAATATAACCCAAAAAGTTCAGAAGCACTGACTTTGTTCAATTCCTTCATTTCAGAGAAAAGGAAATGAAGAGCTTAAATCAGTCAGCAGCAAGACAAAGAGCCCTGGTCTCCTGTTTGAGGGACTCGGCAGCTTTTTATCCCACCCTGAACTAAGGGAAAGCCTGGGAGGCTGGAAGACAGACGTCTAAGAGGGCCCGAGGCCTAGGCTCTAAGGGGACTTAATTTATAGAGAACAGGGGAATAAGTAGGCCTGCAATTTTTTACACCTGCTTTAAGGAGCAGCTCTTTATGTTCACCCCTCATGACAAAATGGTATTTAAAATTTACTCCTTTTAATTAACCTTTTCCCCTCTTTTGATTACAAAAAAAGTTTAAGAAAAAGTTACAAAAGTACCCTTGAGTTTTATTTCCAAGTTAAAACATACAACAATCCAATTGTTCAGGAATCTTTACAGAAGATAGTATAATGCCACAGGATAGCTGTCTCAGAAACTAGAAAGATAAAGATAGCTGTTTATGAATGGGACACACAGTCCTTGAACCTGAGTGGGAGGCAGTACACTTAAAATAGAAAATAAACCCAGACAAAAATCTTTAGGATCCAGGGAGCAAATGTCTCTATAAACAAGGAGAATGACTTAGCAACAATTCTTTTTAAGTAACGTAGCTTGCAAAATGAGCTACTACTGTCCTACCTCAGTAGCCTTTTGCTAGAACTAAGCCTATTGCTATATCCTAAGTTGATTAATAAAAAATATTTATTACACAAATCCTTTTTGTTGACAAGTTAAAATGGAGCCTCATCTTTCATATCTCCCTGAAGATTGCCACCTTGTGAGATTGAAAATACTCATTAAATTCCATCACCAGCCGCACAAATGAGAGGGCCATTGTTTTTAAGCATGTGAGGGGAATCATTGCTAAACTCATTTGTTTGGATATCATTAACAGAACAATCGGTGTGGATCTCCAGGGGGTCCTCATGACCTTTGCTCGCAATCTCTTCATCATCCATCAAGAAATATCAGCACCTAATATGCAAGGCGAGACCAATTTTAAGGTGAGGTGTTAATTAACTAAGATCCTGGTTAATTTCTATACAAGGGCTGAGAATACCTCATGCTGTATTGTAAACAAGTGCTAAGCCATCTTTTTTTTAAAATTGTAAGCAGTACATATTTTACAATGTTCAGGGTCAACATTGGAAGGTTCCCAATGAACCTGTTAGTTATATTTAATAGTTTGAAACTTTTTCTTTGAAATACAGTAGACTTGCTTTAACTTGCTGCCATTTTCAAATCTAAGCTCAAGAGACAACAGTGATTTTGATGTTGGAGGAGAAGCTGAAACATCACAATGGAGCCAAAATAAAGACTCACAACCAAAATTTGTGAATATAATCTACTTGTATTTGAGATGCTACCATGTCTGGGTGGTGGTTAATGGGGAGCCCCAGTCCTTAGAGCCAGAGAAGTTCTGAGGCCTAAAAAGATAGTATGTTTTAATGAGAAGCAGAAGAAAATCCCAGAACATATGTGAACCATCCACTCCACCCCACCAGCAATCTTCTGAAAGTTCCACATGGCCTCTAGACATACTGGAATTGAAATCTAGATGTATGTGTTGACTAGAAGTCTCCAAATTTTAAAATTCAGGGGCAAGGCCTATGCAAGAGATTTGAGACTGGTTGAACAGAGATAATAGCTTGGTGATGATCAGCAAGGTCTGATTCCTAGCTTCGGTCTTGACTGTTTGGATGGGTCAAAAAACTCAGAGGACTCACGGGGAGAGCGTATACGGTTTTTCTCTTAAACAATATGCCCTACAAATCTTAATGAAATATAATTTCATTACATTTTTATCTCAAACTAGGGCCAGATCCCTTTAGTAACAATAGCAGTGATAACAATGCTTTAAAGGGATTGTAAGAAATGGAAGACTGACCACTGGTTTTTCTGCAATGTGACTGAAAATATTCGATAAAAACAGAGTCAGTGTTACACCAGTATTCACTGGTACTAAGGAATGTCCGGTGGTTTGGATATGGTTTGAGTGTGTCTTCCAAAGTTTCCTGTGTTAGAAGCTTAGTCTCCAATGTGGCAAATTGAAAGGTGGCTGAATATTTAATAGGGAGAGCATAACAGGAAGTCATTGGGGGCATTGCCCTTCAAAGAGAATGGAGTGGTCCTCCAAGGACCTTGCAGTTCTCTAAGCATGCTGGTATAAAGGAGCAAGAGTAGCCCCTCCCAGCTCTCTGGTTTCCTGCCTCATTATGAGATTTCTCCCTCTCACACGAGATCTGACCATACCATCTGCTATGAAATTGATGTAGCCTCATTTCAAGGCCCAATTGATGGGGCTACCCAATCTTGTATTTTTAGGCTCTAAAACTGAACTAAATGAATGTCTTTTATTTACACATTACCAAGCTACAGCTATTTTGCTACAGCAATAAAGAACAGCCTAATATAAGATCTATGCTTATTATTCACATTTTAAGTTCCTTCCAGTGAGCATCACTTTACCTGTTGTTGCTTGTACCAAATTTTGAAACTGTCTGCATGTGATCAGCTAAGGCTGACCAAAGATAGCTAATAATCAGAATCAGATAGTGTATCCCCAAGTCACTAAGTGAACTCTTAATTCGAATTTGAGATTGACAGAACCAACCATACTTGACAAAAGTGAAGGCTATTTCCCTGTTCTTTCTCTGGTTTTCAAAAATCATTTAAAAGGTCAGGATTTTTTAGGTGACTTTTAAATATGTGATTTCTATCCCTTTCAGGTTAGAAAATCTAAAAGTAAAACTTTGTATCTCAGTAACATAAGAGTAATAACAAACATTTGAAAAGTGGAATGGATTTATTTTGGTAGTACTACTTAGTGGTTTTCAGGTATTTTTAAACAAAGATATACCAATAAAGGCTGAGTATACATGGGAAGGTGATGTAGGAAAGCCTTTAACAAAACCTAAATTTTTTATGATAACAAAACTCAACAAAGTAGGAACAGAAAGAAACTTCCACATCCTGATAAGGACAGCTAAAAATCGAAGAACTAATACCCACAGTGAATCCAGCAAGACTGAAAGCTTTCTTATAACATGAGGAACAAGACAGGAGGCCCTCTCTTGCTACTTCTATTCATTACTGCACCGGAAGCTGCAGGCAGGGCAGTTAGGGAAGAAAAATAAGTAAGCTGATAGACTGGAAAAGTAAAAGCAAAACTATATTTGAAAATAGCAAATTCTTGGCTATAGAAAATTGTAAAGAACTCTGTTATAGCATATAAACAAGATCAGCAAGGTCTCAGGATATCCTATAAATATACGTAAGTCAATTGTATTTCTATAAGCAGCAATGAAAAACAAAATAAAATTAAACTAATTGAAGTTACAATAGTATCAAAGACAATTAAAATATTTAGGAATAAATTTAACAGAAGTCCAACAGTGATACATTGAAAATAGTAAAACACCAGTTAAAAAAATTAAAGACCTCAATAAACATGAGGACATTCTATGTTAACATTGTTAAGATTGCAATCCTCCTCAAATTGATCTATAGATTCAGTATAATTTCTAACAAAATTCCATCTGCTGATCCTAATTATTTGTGTGGAAGGGCATGGGACTCAAAATAAACTGGGAGGGGCATAAAAGTGGAAGACTCACATTTCTCAACTTCAGAATTCACTACAAAGTTACAATAAACAAGACAGTGTGGTACTGACTAAAAATAGACATACACTGAACTTGAGAGACAACAAATAAAACCTAAGATTACAATGAACTGATTTTTCAATAATGGTGCCAGAGTAATTCAGTAGGAACAAGAATGGTCTTTTTAATAGTAGATGCCAGTTGGGGATTTAGCTCAGTGGCATAAGCACCTGCCTGGCAAGCATGAGGTCATGAGTTCAATCCCTGGTACAAAAAAAGTAGTAGATGCTAGAACAAATGAGTATCCACATATACATAATGAAGTTGGAAACTGTACACAAAACTTAAAATATATCAAAGACCAAATACAAAACCTAAAACTATAAAACTCTTAGAAGAAGAAAACACAGGTATAAGTCCTCATGGTCTTAGATTAGCAATGGTTTCTTAGATACGACATTTAAGCATAAATAACCTAAGTGAAATATGTAAATTGGACTCAAAATGAAAAGCTTCTGGGAATACAGCTTGGTAAAGTGGTCCTAGCACCTATGTTCAGTCCCTAGTAACACAAACCAAACAAAATTAGAGAAATATCCATGTAATGAAATATTATTCAGCAATGAAAAAAGAAATGAAGTACTGATGGTCTGTGCTATAACATGAGCACTGAAAACATGCCAAGTGAAAGAAGCCAGTCACATAAGGACAAATATTTTTATGATACCATGTATATAAAATATGTAGAGTAGGCAAGTTCACAGAGACAGAAAATATATTGATGGCTGCCAGGGGCTGGGGGAGAGAGGGGAAATGGGGAATAAGGTTTCTACTTGGGATAAAAAAAAATGTTCTGAAATTATGTAACTGTGCTGGGTGTCTATGAATATACTAAATACTATTGAATTGTACATTTTTGAAGAGTGAATTTTATGATATATGAATTATACCTCAATTTAAAGTAAATTAATTAAATTAATTAATGCATTCAGTGTAGAGTATACTTGCCTAGCAGGGTCCTGGCTTTGATCTCCAGTATTACCAAAAATTACTTAATTAACTAAAAATAGGCAAGTGTCATTGCTTTTTCCAGAAACCAAGAAAATAAACCCACCTCAGCTTACTAGGCCTCACTTTAGGGTGACCAGACCAGTACTTCTTATCTGTAGTGAAGAATCTGTATTTTTTTCTGACCTATCAGGGATTAATACCTTTTCAAAATGTAGCAAAACTGAATTAGTAGAAAAGTGAAAAAATTAAAGATGTACAACATAGATTACAGTTCACATTTTAGATTTAGTAAGATTAAGAATTCTAGTAAGGTTTTGTTCACTTCAGCAAGCCTTGTAACCAGTGCACCGTCAGCGGAACAAACTTGGAGCAGAGTTGGTCTGAACCATATTAAACTCCAAAAAGGAACAAGTACTTGGAAGGAGAGGGTTTGTAACAGATCTTTACATAATGAGTATTATTTTAATTGCTATTTACAGACCACCATTGATGATATCAAGACTATTCTAGGAGTAACAAAGGAAAACAAAATGAGATTTGAAGAAGAACTACAGTCCAAGGATGATAAAAACCTCTCTATGAATGATAAGTGATTCTGAAACACATTACAATTTGGGAATCACAGTCCAGAGCAAGAAATGGCAATACTCCTTCTGGTATTAGGAACAAAAGAGGTGGTGGGTGGAATGAATTTTATTTGCTAAGGCATGAAGCAGAACAGGTTAAAATGGATTTTCTTTTTGAAAATGTATTAAGTGTCCTTATTTTATTCATTAAGCCAAAATTTAGGGGTGTTTTTACTCAGTAATGTTAATCCCTTTCCAAAGAAAAATATTCTGATAAAAGAACAAATTACAACTGTAACCCATATCATTTCTACATCTATTTCTCTATAAGCTTCACAATTATAGAGTTCTTGGAGTTTTTTAAATGTTTATGAAGTTTTCTCCTATTTCTAAGAGTAATTTATCATCTGCATTAAAACACTGAATAAAGGCAGAGTCTCTATTTGTCAAACCACAATGTCCTTTTTTCTAAGACACACTCATTTATGTGAAATTTTAAGTGATTCTTTATCACTTTCTGTATGTTTATTGTACCAAGCCTCTACTGTTAGTTGCTACTGTCGAGAAGCAGAGGAAGCCAACCTCTAGCTAGCCAAAGCAGCAGAATGTGTCTAGGTGGCAGTATCTGCTCTTAGTTTAAAATACAGTGTAACTCAAGCTTTGAGCTTGGATAACCATTTCTCCTTCTCTGGTTCTCTGCATTTAATACTGCACTAGGATTTTTACAGGGTGAATTCAACAGTACTTTTTAAAGGGGAATATTAATGTTATGCAATGCTGACACCGCATCTGCTGCATGATTGTCCAAAGTATTTCTACATCAGCTTCACCAACATGAAATATGCAAGGTGCAGCACCAAATCACATTTGGTATAAAGAATAACATTCGAATCTATAAAAATACTTGACTGTATTGGGACAATGAGTGTTTTTCAAACTATGGAATTTCAATAAATTTTTAACTGTGCTTCGGCTACAGGCTAAGAGTTTCTGCAACAAACATTAACAGTTCTCTGTGTTGGTTTTTGTTCCACCATAGTTGCAAATACATTAATTAGCCAGGTTTCCTGCCTGTGTAGGTGCAAAGGTGACCTCTTTTTCTTGCCAGTTTTGTCCTATCCATAGAGGGGCCTACTGTCCAGACACTTGACGGATAGGAAGTACTACATGCCCATTAGAGTCGCTCTTCTATTGAAGCCAGAGCAACATAAGGTCCAAGAGACTCATTAGTTCACTGGCACGATCGTGTCCTGAGAGTAAATGAAACCCTCTGTCTCCTTATGGTTCTCATCTGCTCTGGACTTTAAAAGAAAACTGTCTCTGTTTTGTTTAGCACAGCAGTGGATCATTCACATGGCAAAAACCCACCGCTTAATGGTATAAAACTATTAAACCCATCAGGGAAGTTTTGTGTGTGGATTTTGATTAGCACTCCTGAGCCTCGAGCTGCTGGCAGTAGCAAAACAAGATCATTCTCCTGTACCATTTTTAATCCCCATGATTGGTTTCTCAAATAATGCTGCTTGCCTCCTTTGCATACATCATTACCATACACCACAGAACCCGTTTCCAAATCCAGGCCTTCCAGTCAGATTCAGACTCCTTAGCAAGAGAATGGGAGTAAGGTTCTCTGCCTAAACACCTACAGCTTCAAAATGAAAGACGAAAAATTAGGATAGTACAACAATCACATCAGGTAATTAAATGGAAGAAGCCAGAGGACCAGATTAAATTAGTGAAATGTTTTATTACAGAACATTTGAAAAGAAGCATAGACCAGTATCTTTTAACACATATGTTACAAAGATACCATGCTACTGGTAAACTAAATTGAGTTTGGAAAAAACTGTATGTGCACAATGTCTACGGTACCCCAAACACAATCTGATCAAGATGAATTACTGTTTTTTTTTTTTACCATTCTAAATAGGAAACTGAAATCTTTGTTGGTTATAGGATTCTTGGCAAATGATGTGCCATTTTTTAGGAAATTCATTTAGGACAGCATTATAAGAAAACTATGCTGTAATACCAGCACTCATGAGGCTGAGGCAGGAGCATCATTGGGAGTTTGATGCCAGTCTGAATTCCACAGTGAGACCCTGTCTCAAAAAAAAAAGTTTCTCTTTTAGTGCATTACTCGTTTTATACTAGCTTTAATAAAACCAACTAAAAGGTAATATTAAATGGCAGCACACCACCTGAGCTATCTCCACAGCTCCTATCTTCTACTGTGTACGTAGACTAGGGGCCAGGTCTCTACTATGCTGGCTTTATGTTTTACTTATTGCACCTTTACAACAAATCCACGCAGGTAGGTACTACTGCTAGCTTCACTTTACATAGGAGGAAATTAAGATTGAGTACCTCATCCTATGGCTATGAAAATGATTTTTGGATTGGCTCTCTTTTGTCATACAAAATGGTATGCCATACAAGAATTCTAGTATGTTTCACTTGCCCTAGATCATACAAGGAATTTCCTGTGTTCTATAACAAAGTCTAATGTGTTAAGTATTAAAAAATGGCTTAATTTACACATCCCTCATGCTAGTAATATTGTCTTGTGTGATTGGTAACACGGTAGGACACTGCAATTTTGTGGTACAATAAATCACGAGAAGAAAAAGTAATGTCTATAGAAGTTTCCTATGGTGAGGGATCTGTCACACTAGTAAGAGAACATGACAGAAAGTACAGAAATCTGATGGCTGGGAAGTCATGTCCCACAGTTTTGTGACACGAATATGAGATCATGACACTCTGGAAGGGTTAGAAGAGGTCTCTTAGCAAGATATAGAATAACCAAGGAGAAGTCTGAGGCACATTATTTCAGTATGTCATCCTGACAACTGCAAGCATCCTATTTTTCAGGGAATATATATTTTATCATGAGTAATATGTAAGTAACCATCTTATAGCTTTAACAATTAATAATCTTTTGAATGCATCTGGCACCTTTCTTCTGAAGAGCTCAAAGCACTTCACATTTGTTATCTCATTAATTCCCAACACTGTCCCTGTGGGGAAGGTAATAAGTATTTTAACATTTAAATGTTTATCTTTCAAAATTTTTCAAGCATACATTAATTATATTTCCAAAAATATAAATGTTCGTTAGCTTTATTTTACTGTTCCTCTGGCTTTAATGTGCATAACACATTTACTCAACTCTTTAAATGGATAAATCATGGCAAATCTTACTTAGAAAACTATAAATTAAAGTTGCCAAGAAAATGTCAGGGTAGAGAGTAGGGAAAGGAAGAAGCATTTGCTGGAAGTTTAGTTCAACTCGCTTTCAAGTGCACACACAGGGTGCTGTGGCTTTCCTTATCCCATTTTGTTATGAGTGTGCCACCAACCGTTCACGTGCGGGGGTCTGGTCAACCATACTGAGAGGCGGTGGACCTCTGAGAGGCAGGGCCCACTAGAGGGTAATCAGTCATGGGGCACCACCCTTAGAAAGGATTAATATAGTTCTCCACAGGATTAGTTCTTTCAAGAGTGGGTGGTTATGAGGCCACATCCATGGGCTCAGCCTCTTCTGGACACAGCTGTCTCCCTTTCTAGCTCCCTGACATGTTATCACACAGCCAAGCAGGCCCTAGCCAGTTGCCGGGACCCTGTTTGGACCATAAGCCAAACAAACCTCTCTTCTTTATAAATAACCCAGCCTCAGTGATTCCATACAGAAACAGGAAACAGACTAGGACACCATTCCTTCCAAAAGACGTGCCACAGAAGGGTTAGCACTGTATCTATGGAGCCTGAGGTCAACTGAGTTCCTATTTACATCATTGTTTTATTAGTGATTTCATCAACATAGAATGGAAATCGATGCATTCTAGTGAGAGTTACCTTCCAAAGAGTGACTGGACAGGAAGGGACAGGAACTGTCTCTGTAGCCCTCCCCTGGGTCTGGGCAATACCTTCCCCAATTTTGTTTGTAGAAAAACGGCAGACAGTAATACCTGCTTCTTAGGGAAGCAGTGGAGATTAACTGGCCAATGTTTGGAGAGTTGCAGTGACAAAGTGTTCTACATAAATGTTTAAATATTATTACATTGCTATTTCAAATGGAAGTTCTAACTTTGAAATGTGATTATACACTTTCTAGGGGAAAAAACCCTTCGTAACCACATATATGTTTGTTTTTCACTCTAACAGTCTAACTCATGGTTGTGAAACTTTATTGTACTTGATGCAGGGCCTTGGCTTTTATTAGTTTTAAACTGCTGGTTTTTGGGGTATTTATGTAAATGAGGGAAAGATACCAAAACAGTATATAAGCATGTCCCTGCTGTTTAAAAATCTGTTGGTAAAAACAATTTCTGTTTTTTTCTTATAAGACCCTAAACATAGCTTTGGGATCAGTGTATGAAGTAAGTTTGGGACTTTTTTTGGCTTTTGTGTGTGTGTGTGCTCCCATGAGCATGTCTTTGCAATTATGAAACATTCTTTCTACAATTGTACATATTTATGCATGTGTGCACACACACGCACAAGGAGGGAAGAAGGAAAAAGGAGAGAGGGAGAGACAGGAGAAGAGAAGCACAGTAAAACACTTATGTTTTAAGATTTTTTAAAATGTAACATGCTGTTATGAAGTATCCCAGAGAGCTGCATGTAATTCCTGCAAACAGAGGCCACACTCACCTTCACTGAAGTCACCTCATGCGGAATCAACACACAATCCAATCCACTCACATCAAAGTAGCAGATCTCCCACTGGGTGCAAAACAAACTTGGCATTAAAATTAAACTTTGGGTTCATTTAAAGATTCTGCCACTTTGCTGCGTAGCAGAAGATACAAGGTACATGGTTATTGTTAGGGAAAAAAAAATCATCTAGGAACACATTCCAAGTTCCCTTTACGAGGCCTTTGCACTTATTCTCCTGAGTTTATTTTTTCCAAGCTGAATATCTAAATCACCTGCCTCATCAAAACAAAAATAGGTCATTTGCAAGAATAGTGAAAAATTAAATTTCAACAAAGGCGTATTACCTATAAAAGATCACTGTACAGCCATTATAAAAGACCTGAGGATAGTCACTAGAAAACCTTTACCACATCATAGGACCAGCCATTAACCCAAAGGAAAGAAAGTGTATGTCCAAGGAAAGACTGGGTATAAACTGCAGCAAATCGTTGTCTTGGGGTGGGGAATGAGAGGTAGACAGGGTAAGCAGCAGGAGGATGGGACAGGGCCAGAAGGAACTTTCTGGGGATGCTGGGTATTGTCACTGTTGATATGCAAATGGCTTCTTGGATGCACACATGTTAAAATTTATCGAACTGAACACTTGAAATATTGTCGAAAATAAATACAGCTACACACTAGTGAAATTGGTAAGGGCAGACTGAACAGGAAATACACTATTGTGTATTATCTATTCAGATACGTGTCCAGTGTGAACTGAAGTCAACTTCTATTTCTACCCAGGTAACTAGATGCTTTAAGGATGGAGGCTGAGGGAATAGCAGAGGGAGGGAGTGGGTCAGGGACATAAAAAACAACTGGAAGCATGAAGGGCTGGTCATGGGTTTACTGACTGGCACTTAGGAAAGTTGGGCTCTGCCTTCCCACAGAGACAGAGGATGGAGGCCCTATTCTTTCAGTGGCCTAGAGTTTTACCAAGCTGGCACTAAAACGGGCAAGGACGGTGGTGGCAAACCTATGACACGCATGCCTCAGCAGGCTGTTTGTATCACTGAGAGCTCTAAAATGCTCACCATCACTGGGCTAGGGGCTCTTGGGTGGTCCTTGTAGGGAGCCCTTGAAGCTGGAGCTTGATCACTGGGTGGGGCTAAAAGCAAGGCCAGCCCTGAAAACAGAGAGCCCAAAATAAGCCATGTAAACAAGCTATTCCAACACCAAGAAGGCAGAGGGCCCAGGCCAGCCAGGCAACCAAGTTGCTAGGCAAAAAAGTTGCTAGGCAGCGGGGTTGAAACTGACCTTCTTGGGAGTGTATAAACAAAGGTACTATAATGGTTGAGCAGTTCCTTTTCTCCCATCAGGAGAGTAAGGGCTCCACCTGACTCCAGACTTTGTCTTTTTATTTTCTCATCCTCTCACTGTCCTTCCCCCTGGGAAAATCTAGAACCACAGCGTGTCACTACAGTC